AGAACCACGCCAAGCAAATGCCAGCTTCGACAACGTTGTAAAAGAAAATTTCGACGATCTCTCTCGCCTACGAGAACCCTGCAGCGTCGGCTAGATAAACGATGCATTCGCTTGTTCCGCACGAAAGCCGTTTGCTAGGAGAAGCAAGCGCTCATTATTTTTTTGCGTCAAGCACGTGAGTTCTGCCCAGAACTGCTATACAAACAGACCAATTGTGACTAATTTTGGTGCTATGCTTGGTGCTTCAGCTGATCTTCGGGTATGTTTTTTTAAGTTTTTTTTGTCAATGGCACACCTGTTGCTTGCAAATAATCTTGAGCTAATGCGGGAATCACTTCACGTATGATTTCTCATAGGTCACTGTTGCTTCTAGACTAAGTAACTTGAATAACATCACCATGCATGTGGCCGCAGTAGGCATCACTTGGCTTGCTCACTCTTGGTTTGGTATAAACGCTAATTGTATTTTATGAAATATAAAACAACAATGGCGGAGAGTGTGACTTGTGCAACGTATCCAGGAAGACAGCCCGCTCTGCTGGGTCTTGTAAGCTGCCTAATCTATATATAGTGCTAAACTGAATATTCCTGAATAAAATCATATCTTCCTTTATAGATTATTGTACACCGGCGGACGTTACTGCGATTACTGGTGCACGGCCGAGCATCTATGATAATAAATTACATGCGTGATCATCGAGCTGAAAAACAAATCATATATAAATAATGCTTTCTAGTGCCCCTCAGTGAATCCTGTAGAAGGAATCAAGTGGGAGCCGAAAAGTCGTGTTTTTTTTTGTTTTTGTATAGTGAAAAACATTTTGCTTTCAGTCACAACCTTGTTAGGCTGCACTGTGTGTAAACCATAAGCACCTTGCGAACGCGGAATATTCTTGTCAAATGTGAACGTTTAGGAGGAGGAAGCAACAAAAGGGAGAAGGCAGGGAGGTTAACCAGAAAGACATCCGGTTGGCTACCCTATACTGGGTGATTAGGGAAGGGGACAAGAAAGACGAGAAAGAGGGAAGAGAGGGAAAAAAGGTTGGGGGAGAGACTGACAGTAATTTCACTGCCGCGTGTAGAACTCTACTGCATGTCAGAGGCGTTCACACAAGCCTGTCTTTCTCAGGAAACACAGCAGCGCTTTAACTGCCTTGTGGGCTGTCGAGGCATGTTCACGCTTAAATGATCAAGGTGTGCTATGTTGAACCCATGTTCTCTCATTTTTCTTGTTTCTAGCAATCCAGCACGTAGCGCACGTGCATGGCTAAACTGAACGCCCCATTTCACGGCGTGACGACAAATTTAGCTGAGTGATTGTCACATTTGCTTTGATACAAGCGAAAAACAGGCAGATTACGCTTGCAGCTCACTATGACAGCTTATAAAGCGCAAGTATGTCCTCGGCTAAACTTCTCCTTCGTTTTCATTGCAGTCACAACCCTATAGACACTCTAGAGGCGTCTTGCTATATACGTTGAAGTCCACGTCGGTGTAAGGTTCTGTGTGAAGCCCAGCATGCGATAACATGGTCTCACACACTGCGAGTTTTATATACGAAAATGTGAAAGTGTTTGACGCCTACCGTCGATCACGGCTCGAGCGGAAATGAAATGTGCTGCTCATCGCCGTTGCGAGAAGGAATTGTGGAATGGTAGTGGAGGTGGAAGCACCTCTCCTACGCTTCCATAAGTATGGGTGCTGCGTCTCTCCTGCAGTGAGTGCCTGCTGTGACTGACAGGTAGCGGTTTCCTGCGCCCTATCATAGCAGAGGTCGGCCGAGTGTTCGTACCTTTCCACTACTTCTGTCCTCGTCATTGTTGGCATTGAAGTGACTTAGAGCACGAGGGTCACTTCACTCGCTATAGCGGCTGCGTTTTAGTTAGCTCGTTTTTTTTTTTATTGAGAAAAGATGAATCGGATGATAAAGGATTTCGCTTATAGCTTTTCATCATGAAACAATCCAGTTTCTTGCTATCCCATACGTTACTTTTCTCTTGCGGTGAAACTTCTTTTTTGTCGCCTACGCTGCATAGCTGTAACATTCTGAGTGGTCGGCTGAACCATGTGCCTATGAAGGTGGGCTTTGTGCTTTGTGTCATACTTTCATCTAAAATTACTTGGAACAAGGGTATTTCGGTAGTATTGACTTTCTCAATCAGTAACTTAGTACCAGCTAGCCCATTATAAAGAGAGAGAGAGAAAATTTAATGCGGAAAGGCAGGGAGGTTAACCAGAAAACATATCCGGTTTGCTACCCCATTATAATATACCTTAAAACCTCAGGGAACATTGTTCAGTTTGTCTGTTCTAATGATCTGTAAACTGGGTATTCACTAATAAATACTTCGATGAGTCATAACAACTAGCGTCTGTTTTATATTTGTTTTACAAAACCCGAGACCCGATGATCTTTATTTTTTTTCATACAATTCTATTTACTGGAACTCCTATGAATTAGAAAAACCAAAGCACAATACTTTTATTTCGATTGCGTACAGTGCATTTTAAGTTTTTATGTCGCTGTCCCTGCTTTAGATTTTGTAAAACCATGTGCATGTTGTAGCATCCTTCGGATAATACACATTCATTTTCATTATACAGCTCTTCATCAGCCAAGCCGGCATTTAACGATCCATAATATTCACGCGAATAGCACACTGCCGAGGCTACACCAATTTTACGAGCACTGATGAACACCGTACAAAAAGTATCGCTTGCCGCGTCAAATTACAGGGATTATTTCTAGTAAATCATTACTGAATTACGGCTTTTAATGTGCGCTAGACCTGTTAAGAAAATATTAAAATACAGTCTTTATGGCATAGTGTTTCAAAGCAAAACACAAAGCAATGTCGAGAAGCGATTGCAACCAGCGTTGGCGTTCGCAGACAGAGCTGGTCTTATCTTAATGTCTTCTTTTATGTACTAACATAAGTCAGCGGGTTTAGGTAAGCGCATTTACCCTGAAATAGTAGTCAAGTCACTACTATTAGGAAATTCAGTGAAGTACATATGACATTCTAGACTGTATTTCTACTTTAATAATATACGATTTCAGTGCTTAACGCAGTAATTTCCCGCTTTACGTAAGCGCATTTACCCTGAAATAGTAGTCAAGTCACTACTATTAGGAAATTCAGTGAAGTACATATGACATTCTAGACTGTATTTCTACTTTAATAATATACGATTTCAGTGCTTAACGCAGTAATTTCCCGCTTTACGTTTTCTCATATCACAACTTTATATATGGCAACCTCTTTACAAATAAAGATTTAAACAATGCGAACTGGGGAAACAGAGGGAAGAAAATTATAGTTAACCACAGAGTTTTCTGGAATTAGCCAGCGGCGAAAAAAAGTACCATTGACCATACGAAGAAATACCTATATGTACGACGTATACAGCTGGCATATTTCACAAAATAGCATATGCATATGGAATTCCCGCGAAGCGCTTCATTTATCGAGGTTTTCCATAAGAAGGCACCGCAGCCAAGAAATACCACAATTACTGGCAATATTCATAATAGGGTTTATGCCATTCAATACAGCAAGCTTTTTGTTGCGCTTCATTTTGAAAAACCTGGATGCCTTTAGGCTATATTTATTTTCTAAGGGTTCCGAGCGATCAATACCATAATTACCATGCTCCTCCACGCCAGCAGTATAGCTTTATTGATTGTTTGCTAGGGCGCTTGCAGCAGTTAAACACGTGAAACCAGCACAATATTTAACCAGGGTTTCAATAAGTGCTGCATTTTCCGTGATTATTCTGGACGTATACTAGCGCCAACAGCGACGCTGGAACAGAACTCAGAAAAGGCCACACTGAAATGCGAGATAAAGGAGAGGGGCTCGCGGAAGGGTTTCGACAAACGCAGCTTTCGAATATAGTTCAGCTACCAGAAACATCGCGGGAAACAAGACCAAACAAATAAATGAAAGAAAATATTCGACAGCCATCGCGAGCACGCCACTCGTAGGCCGCCTTACCAAATGCCGATAAAATTCCCGCACGCCACGACTGCGGCCTCGGCGTGCCCCGTCTAAGTGCACGCGGTGTGGCGCTTGCTTTTTTGGCCGTGCCCGGGCACTCAGCGAGTGGGCGCAACATAAATGACAGCCAGAGGTGGGGATAAAAAATGCCGGGGCCAGAATGGCAGAGATAGAGCGGCGGGAGATTCCGCGGCAGCCCACGAAGAATGGACACGAACCCTTGGGTATGCTTCGCAATGCACCAAGGAGTAGTGGCGGCAGGCGTGTAAGACTGCTCTCTTTGCTGCCACTGCAGAAAAGACCACCCTTGTTTATGCTGCTTGTGCGCCGTGCCTATGCAGACATTGGCAGGAGAGAAGTAAAGAAGAAACCCGGATTGAGACGGCGGTAGCAGGCGAAGAAATGCACGCAGTACGTGGCAGACACGTGCGTACATAAAACGAGGCAACCAGACACAGCGGTAAACAAACGAGCAAGCCAGGCAGAGTGTGCTCCCGTCTGGTCGAATGCGCGGGACAACGAGAAATACACACATGCGGGGCCCGAGCATGCAGGGCAGAGAGGGCCTACCTGAATATTTCATAACAGAGCCGCGCATGGCCGAGTTTTTATCACTTTTTTTTTCTACGGGCGCACGCAAGCCCACATGTCTGCGCTGTGGCCAACTGCTACGGCGCGTGTATGCGTACTTCCCTCATCTCTTCGTACACTCGGACAACCAGAACTTCTCTCACCCCCCTTACTTGGTGCCCAGAACTCCGAGTATGCACCGTATGTTTCCATGCCGCGCAATACCCAGAGGCCCTCACGTCCATTTTTTTCCCCCGTAATCCACCTCCTCTCCCCCTTTTATCTCATCCGTTGTTCCGGAACGTCTGTGTTGCCTGCGCGGCGTACTAGGCAGAACAAGCGCACGCACGCTGTATACAAGACGGCCCAAACATGCGGCGCCCACCGTGCCAAGGGAACACGACGGCAAGGTTTCGTTTTCGAAATTACCGGTAGCCCCACTCGGTTCCCGGTGCGAGGTACTGTGGCGCAGTGGTTTGAGCACCGAGGAGGCAGCAGGCATTGTCCCCGTTTGCCTTTTAGTGGCCGTGGGTGTTCTGCTGTGTTTATGCGTATATGCGCGCAGAGTGCTTCACTGTAAAGCGGAAGAAAATAAAGGACAAATACATCTAGGGCGGAAGGAGCAGTTGGCTGTGAACCCATCTTAAAGGGTGCGCTTATTCGCTGGTCGCATGGTACGCGGAAAAACTGTTTTGCGGCCCCCTTCTCGGTTGGCGCTTTAGCCTTTTCTTAGCGTCCTCTCTTCTCCCTCATTTTCCTCTCCCTTTTCCCCCAACTCCCCTTAAGGTATGGGGTTGGGTTAAAACACGAAACACTTGGACAGTGCTGCCGCTCTTCGAAGCAAGGTTGCGCCGTTACGCGGAAGTATTCTGAATGCTTGTTCATCTGCCTTTACCCACTTTCTTTCCTTCTTTGTTATCTTTTTCTGCATGTCAGAGTACTTTGCATGATTCTTGGAAAAACTCATTTTGGAATGTTATAGGCTGACATAAAGCATCATTTTTATCTTCCCTGGTTTTTTTCTTCACAAGTATCTGCCGGACTCTAAATAAAGTTTTTTCATTCATTCATTCAAGCATCTCCCCCATCTTTTATGACACCTCTCCCACGGATAAATGTATTTTCTAATTCATTTGAGCTGATGCAACTTAGGTCGCATAAAATGCATTTGCGTGAGGATAAGCCGCGAGCTTAAGTAAAGGCATAATGCGAGAAGCTCAGCTGCAAAAAGCAAGAATAATCGTGTAAGAGAGTGCAAGCGAATGAGCGGGCCAAGCGGAAACAAAGCATTCTCGTCCAGCTTTCTTTTATTCCGTAGTAAACCGTCGTCTCACTCGTTTCAGAAGTAAAAGCGCACCGCCTTTCTGCATTACTGTCCCGCAAGCATCTGCGTTAGCACGCGTGTCGCTTCTTGTAGAACGGTGGCCCTATTACCTTCGTCCCTATTTGGCAGAAGGTATGTCATACTTACCTGTATTGAGATAAACAGGAAAAGCGAGCCTCCCGCGGAGCACTTGAAGGGAGCCTCGCCCCAACACTAAACGAGATTCCTGGAGCCCACTTTCCAGGGTGGGTCACCCTTCCGCAAATACGGCCACGCAGGCGAAGGCATAGCAGACACCTTTACATTCTTTTTTTTTTTTTGCGCGTGTGCCGGTTTTGAGATCTTCCTTATCATATCGTCTACGCAGCCTGCGGCTGCTACTGCTTTTCAGGCTGTCGTTGCATAAAACACGCGGCTGTCAGTATATTCTTTTGTTTCTTCAACTTTTCCGTAGATCTTTACCTTCAGTTACCTTTCTTTGCTCGCTCCTCTCCCCTTTATGTATCTTTCCCTTAACTCCCTAACTTGACTCTCTCGCTTCTCATCTCCCTTTAATATTTTCTGATGCATGCTGGTCAGCGGCGAGCGGGCTTGGGGTCACGGCGGGAGCCGCCTGTGGTCGATTTATCTTAATTTACCGGTGTTCCGTGGAACATACATACGCGCCCGTGTCCGCCCCGAGGAAAGGACGAAGAAGTGAGAAGGATTTCCCAACACGTAATTTTTGTTTACTTTACAATTCCCTCGTTTCTTTCTTACATCGGCTTCCTTGCTTCTGTGCCGCGATTCTCGTATGCGTCCGAAAAAAGTCAGCTCGGGGCCACTTAAAACTTTTGCCTTCCCTTTTATCGTTCACTCTCCCCCTCCGCTCTCCTCCCCTAGAAAACACACCTAGGCAGGCGCAGTCTTTGAGCCGCTCTCGCTATGTGTGCGCGGTTGTGGTGGGGGCTTGACTGCAACGCGCTGCGCTGCCGCCTCTGGGTAAAAAGTCTCGAGGCAAAAAACACAGATCCGAAGGGAATGAGGTATGCACTTTCGCCGAGATGTGGACGGCGGTGCGAGCGCGAAGCGTTAAAATATGAACCTTTATATTCTTTCGTCGGAGGCTGCGCCATGGGCCACCACAAAAGCCGCTCGGCAGCTCTGCTAGGCGAGCAGCGAGCCGGCCAGCAGGCGGACGAAAGCGGCCGCAGCTTGTGTCGTGCCTGCGTATATATGTGGTATTTGCGTCTGTGCGCCAGAGCGCGCTGTAATATGCATCGGATTACTTATTCAGCGAAAGCTTCTGCAGCGCGGCCGCCGCGTAAAGTCGATTGTAAAGTACGCGCCGCCGCGTCCCGAGTTGCGTTGGAAGCCGGGACAGGGGAAAAAAATGGTGAAACGAAGAATTGGGAACAAGCATGGATTCCTTCTTTCCTTCGTACTGGGCCTGCCTTTTCACATTTTTCCGTTCACCCGGGTCTCTCCACACTTGCCGTTGCATAACCACTGGACATTGCGCAATGGTCGAGTGGTGATGGTGTTGTGTGGAACCGTGATAGGGCATGAGCTGCTCTATCACGGTTGCTTGACGCGACAGGTCCGGCCAGGCATCCACTGGACAACGTGCACTCTATATAACAAAACAAAAGCAGAGCCTTCTGGATCTTTTTGAGAGTTTTGACTACGTTCATGACACTCGTCTAGTAGACATGTTAAATCCCTTGGGGTATTATTATACTCTACTGAGAAGGTCATGAGACTCCAGAGTTCAAGCGCCTATTTAAAAGGAGCCACGTATATGACAAGCCAGGACTTACCCAGAAAAGAAACACATACTCTTTCTTTGTTTGTTTTAGAGTGCCTTTGTGAATTTCAGCGGCACATGGTGACTGCTGGGAGGCTTTTTTTTCACTTATTCGTTCGTGTATCAATGATGATGATGAACAAACTTTATTCATTAGCAGAAAGATCCTCCCCCCTTTCAGGTGCCAGAGGAGAAGGGAGGACCAAACCTAGACGACGGCCATGATCCCATGGGCCTTGGCGGCGTTTCGGCCTACCGTATTAAGCGAGCCTGTAATTGAGAGTCTAAGCTGAGGAGCGCGGTATTCCATCCACTCCCGTCTGGAAATTCGCCTCCCGTGGGGGCTTGCGGGCATGCCCATAAAATGTGGCTCAAGTCCGCCCTGTTGTGGCAAAGTTTACACTTATTCGCATGAAGTTCCAGCACGCAGCGTTTGATTGTTAAGAGACTAGGAAACGTGTGGGTATCGAGTAGGCGCCACGCCACCACCTGTCCTTTGTTCAATGACCAGAGTGCGGGAGGATGAATTTTGCTGCTTAGCCTGTAATACTGCGTAGTATCTCAGTAAGTGCTCATCCGCTCAAATTTATGGATTGAAGCTTTTTTATTCGGCAATACCGTGATGCTTCATTTCTAAACGATCCATTTCTCGATTTAGTGCGTAAACACATTACTCTAAACGAAGTGATGAAACAGCAAGTACATCCACACATATAGACTCACATAGAAAGGGCAGCGCAAAAACTCGGGAAAAACGAAGGACAGTAGAGACAGAGCGCTAACAACTGAAATTTTATTGCCATCACTTGTGCCTATATGTGTGCCGAAAATGTGATTGAGAGGAGGTTTAGAAGCAAGAAAAGAAGGCTGGTTTTAACTGGCGATAAAAACTGCAAACGATAAAATCTTCAAAGGAACTCGCACAGGCGTGAACAGTGAAATGCATCACGTCATGATAAAGCAAAAGACATGGCAAATCAAAGAAAACCTCTAAGATAACTAATTTTAGCGTCAGACAAGGATATGGAAGACCTGCTCACGCATTTGTCACCTGCTTTATGAATGAAGAAGGCCTCAACAATCTCGCGCTCTATCTTATGCCTCCCCATTAAAAAAAAAAAAAAACCGGGTACTACGAAAGACAGGAGAGCAGCCACAACGCCTGCAATGGTCAGCCAGAAAACCGCTGGTCGTATTGCGTGCATTATAGTGATGCTGCTTCGCCCTTTCATTAAATCATCTGCCAGTTTGACCAATGTACTCAAGTCCACCACTTAAAAGAAACCTATAAACTACATTGGAAATACAATCTGTGAACCTGTTCGTGTGTTTGGTTGTGCACTCAGTGCGTTTTTCTCTGCAGGCCATGCCACAAAACCTCGAGAGTTTGTAGGGCGCGGACAGTACAACTTGCACGTCATGCTTCGATGCGGTTCACAGACTGTATTTCCAATGTAGTTTATAGGTTTCTTTTAAGTTGTGGACTTGAGAACAGTGGTCAAACTGGCAGGTGTTTTAATGAAAGGGCGAAGGAGCATGACTATAATGCACGCAATACGACCAGCGGTTTTCTGGCTGACCATTGCAGGCGTTGTGGCTGATCTCCTGACTTTCGCAGTACTCGGTATTTTAAAATGGGGAGGGATAAGATAGAGCGCAAGATTGTTGAGGCCTTCTTCATTCATAAAGCAGGTGACAAATGCGTGAGCAGGCCTTCCATTTCCTTGTCTGACGCTGAAATCAGTTATCTTAGAGGCTTTTTTTGATTTTCCGTGTCTTTTGCTTTATCATGACCTGATGCATTTCACTCTTCACACGTGTGCGAGTTCCTTTGAAGATTTTATCGTTTGCAGTTTTTATCGCTGGTTAAATCCACCCTTCTTTTCTTGCTTCTAAACCACCTCTCAATCACATTTTCGGCACATATATAGGCACAGGTGATGGCTATGAAATTTCACTTTTTAGCGCTGTGTCTCTACTGTCCTCCTTTTTTTCCGAGTTTTCGCTCTGCCCTTTCTATGTGAGTACTATGAACCAACTAGCCCAAACCAAAGTACTGCTCGAGCAAACATCCACACAGGTGCGTTCGTGCGTGTGACGGTAGTGTACCATGTCATAAAGGTTCGTGAGAGAACACTGGAGAGATGTGGCGCTGGTGTCCGTGAGAACTGCAACACGTGGCACGCTTCAGCCAACCTGGGATTCATGAGTAATCAATTATTTTCCGAAGCCTCGTTCATTCCATTGCATGCCACAAGACAAACTTCAGCAAAAAATAAGTTACGGTAGTTGAGGAAACCCTCTCCGCCATCTTGTTCATCTTACGCAAATAAGATGAGCAAGTTCACAGGGAGTGTCAATTTATAAAAAAAACATAAAAACAAAAACGCTG